GAAAACAGGTATCAATGTTTCAAGTCTAGAGAGTAAAAGAAAGGAACCTAATGAAAGAAAGCAAGATGCTCTTAAATTAGTTTTTATAAGAGACCTTAGAGACAGAACAACTTTTTCACTTAGTGTTTATCTACAACTGTCCACCAACTTATTTTGTATATTCTATAAGAATATCTGTATTTTATCACTTTCAGAAAACAAAAAATGGCAAAAATTAATTCTAAGGATAATGATTTTTTTTTAAAAAAAGATTTATTTATTTATGCATACAAGAGCTGGGGTACAGGCTAGAGGTGGGGGAGGGGGTGAGAGGATTCACCAAAGACAGAGTGGGGATCAGAACAGGCAGACTGACTGAAATATACGGCTGAGGGGAGCAGCAGGCGAGTCAGGAGAGGTCTGCTGCGCCATGTGGGTTGCTCCCTGGCTGAGGATCGAACTCCTGCTGCAGAGGGTGTGGATAGCTTCATAGGTTGTGTCTTAACCCTTTGCACCACCAGGGAGGCCCTCTAAGGATAATGTTATCCCGCAATCCAATCCTTCCCATTCCTTCTTTCCTCTTTTGTTCTGGATCCTTCTGTTTTCTGTCCTCCTTTCTTATGCTCTTCTGTTCAATTTGAAACCAGAAAATAAGCATTTTCAGCTAGCTTAATCATTGCCATCAGTGATTAGCTCCTTTTGGTTTTCTAAGACACTCCTAAAGTATACCATTTCCCCTCTATGTTATTATTACAGTTGTAGTACAATACGTTCCATATCTTCAGTGACTGGCTCTTAAAAGTAGGGAGAGCTGAATAACGATGGTGTTGATATTAACATAATAACAGTTATAAAGATAAAATTTTTAATTAATTTACTTAATTGGTTATATCTTTTCATTAACAGCTCTACTTAATAAAGATCTTTTTTTGTCTTGTTAGTGTGTTTTATGTCCCTTAATTGATCATTGTGTGAGATTTTCTCATGATTAGATTAATATTATGAATTATTGGGAGAAAGATCACATATGTACCCTGTCATTCTCATCATATCGTAGAAAGGATAAATGCTATCAATATGATTTATGACTGTTTTTGATGGCCTTGATCATTCTGTGCAGGTAGTGTTTGTCAGTTTTCTGCAAGGTAAAATTACTCTTTTTTTCCTGATTTTTATGTACTTTGTATACTATTAAACATACTGTTAGGGGGAAAGGATGTCCTGAGATAATCTCATACAGGCTTTGTGGACTCCACCCCCACTCCAGACTAAAGCCATCAGGACATTGGGAAAGACAAATCCCATCACCACCAAGGGGAGGGTGGCTGGGACCTGAGGGTGGAGTTGGGCAGCCAGGTTGGATATAAAAACCAAACACGTGGGCCTTGCTCGCTCTCTGGCTCGCGATCGCTCGCCTCCTGGCTTCACCGCTCCTGGCTGGCGGCCAACTCTGAGAGCGCCATTTTGGGATTCCTGATCGGCGGATCGGGTAGGACGCATTTAAAACTTTGTCTCCCACTTTTCTCCCAGAGCTGTACATTTCCTCATTTCCCTTTCCGTTGTAAATAAACCTTTTATTAACCTTTCACGTGTGCCTGCAGTAGAGCATTGATAAGTCCTTTTAAGCGCGCGGGTGAGGACCCACAGTCAGGCACCCCGTTTTGTATCGGGGTTGCTCTACAACAATACCTTTAGTGCTTTCAGCTGAAGAGTAAGCCAAAGTGTAATTCATCACCCTGCTAGACTGAATAGGTTCTGTGTTGATGTTTTGTCAAAAAATCCACTTTGACAAAGATTTAACACAAGTTGCTAAAGTTGTTATAGAGCAACCCCGATATTAAACGGGTTCTTGGCTTGGGTCCTCACCCGCGCGCTTTAAAGGGACTTATGAATACTCTACTACAGACACACGCAAAAGGGTTAATAAAAGGTTTATTTACAAGAGAAAAAGAAATAAGGAAAATGTACAACTCAGGGAGAAAATAGGGAAATAAAGTCTTTAATGCGTCCTACCCGATCTGACGACCTGGAAACCCAAAGTCACTCTCAGAGCTAGACGGACGCCGCGAGCTGGCCGAGGGCCCCAAAATGGAGAGAGCCCCAAAACCCACATGTCTGCCTTTTGTATCCACCTGGCTGCTTAACCCCACCCTCAGGTCCCAGCCACCTTCCCTTTAGTCGTGATGGGATTTGGAGTTCCCAGTGTCTTTGGCTTTGACCTGGGGTGGGGGTGGAGTCCACAAAGCCTGTATGGAATTTGCTTTGGGGCAGCCTTTTCCCCCTAACACTGGGGTGGGGGTGGAGTCCACAAAGCCTGTATGGAATTAGCTTTGGGACAGCCTTTTTCCCCTAACAAAGTTACAAAGGAGGAAGATACAATCTCTAAACATAGGTATTTGTGTTTTAGTTAGACACCTATATAAAAGTGGGAATTGAGGAAGAAATTACTGGACAGTGTTATTTGATCTTCAACGATTTTCTGCATGGGCAAAGTATGTGCATGCATGTATGTGTTTATGTGTGTGTGTAGAGGCTGTTTAGGTGTGCACACATTGGAGTGGGCAGGGGGTCAGCCTTCTGGATAGTGGGTCCCAAATAACTAGGGTATATAGTTTGCTGTGCTTTGAATAACAGGCAGTTTTCTCAAACTGAGCCTGGAAAGGTAATTTGGGGTCAAATGAAGACACTATTCAACTGCTAAAATACGGAGCTAAAATATGAATTTTGGGGGTAGATGTGTTAACTAATGTCTTGAGTGACATTAATCAACTAATGTCTTCAGTATTATACCTTAATTATATTGTTTAGTTAGGGAAGTGTTTAATTAGGAAGAAAGTTGGATTTGAAATCATATTGAAATTCCCTACAACTTAAAAAATATTTGTAAGTTTCTGAATGAGAACTGCAACAGCCTCTATGTTTGCTCCTACCAGGGCTGAACTAGTGACTTACAGAGCAGATTAGAATCCTCACCTTGCATCTTTTAAATTTACAGTTTAAATTAATTTTGATTCATCAGATAGCTATGCATTTTTAAAAAGCAGCCACCATCTTCTTTGTCCAGTTAATCTTAAATAACCATGTGCTCTAAAATATCTGGAGCCCATTGCCTAAGGAGAAGGATTTAGAAATGGTATAAATCACTGTCTATATTGAACTTGCCATTTGTTACATAAAATAAAGAAGTCAGAAAAGGATCCATGATAAAGGCTCTCTGCTTCATCAAATATGCTTGCTCATCTGATTAATCATTTTTTAAAAGGCAGATTATTCATATAAACTGCTCAGCAAATTACTGATCTTAACTCTCCTATTCACCTCTAATAATTCCTCAAACATTGCAAGAGATGGATTGCTCACAACAAAGCTTTGTTTATGGCATCTTAAAAGAAAGCATTTTGCACTGGTAATCCCCAATTCCTATCATCATAAAAAGATTTATGGGTAACTTTAAAAAATTGTGTGTGCATGTTTGCTCAGCACTTAACATATTATGAGCATTCTGAAGAATGGAGCACATTCCATTAAATAATTTGGACAAAAATAAACTGTACATGAGTTTAAAAAGCTGTGTAGTCAGCTGCTTAATGCAATAACGGGGAAACAAGTGGGCGCGGACTAGCTTGAGAGCCTGTAGGAGCTGGACCTTGTCAGTCTTGCTTCCTCCTCCTATTTCACTGCCTCGAGCATAGTAGGTGCTCATTAATGAGAAAGAGTGAATAGATTCTCTTTCCTAGTGACTTACAACGGTTATCTTAAGGGCATAATAAAGTAATAATTGCTCCATGACGACTTGGATTCATGAGCTAATGTTTGCAAAGCACTTTGAACTTCTTAGGGCAAAGAATGGTGTTTTTGTTGGCACGACATCATGTTTGCAGTGGCTCACGAATCACTCCTCTTTCTCTTCCTCCAGCTGCCCAAGCTGTGTCCTCCCCCAGCTCTGTCCTGTCCAGGATCTCCCAGAGGGCAGCCGCACTGCTCTGCTACCAGCCTCCGGCCACCTCCAGCCCCACAGGAGAGGTAATGCCCTAAAGATTTCTTTAAGACCTCTCAAGAGACTCCGGAGAAATGGAATTTGGGAGGCTCCCACTCTAGAGCAATCAGTATATTAAGGGATGTAGGATTTGGTCAGTCTATTGTGACAGAGAGCCTGATCCATGAGGACACATCAAACTAGACCCTGAAGGAGAGAGAGAGTGTTTCATTTAGGCAATTATGAGTATATATCAAAGCAGTTGGCTTCTAAAGTATGTGTGGTTTCACACACATATTACAAAACCTTCATTAGTAACTGGCAAAAAAATATAGAGTTTTGTTAGAAGGAATTCATTTATAAGACAAATGAGATTTCTTTTATTTGGGTAAACATTTCAACCATTATTTCTTTCGATTCTTTTTTTTGTATTTGATGTTGGCAAATAAAAGGGTTCTACCTCACAATAGATATAGGTTGCAGTGTTTTCTAATGGATTTATTACCATTGAAATTGCCTTTATTTTTAGAAACTCAATAATTGAACAGTTCAAATGTGACTTGGTAAACAAAAAGAGATTTCTATTAAGATGACTTGCTTTTATGAACAAATTCAACAATAAGTGTATTTTTTTTTGAGGTTATATAATATGTTAATTTTCAACTATTGCTCTATAAATATCTCAAAGTAATGCAGGGAGAGCAAGTTACAAGCGTAGGATAGCTAGAATGGCTATCAGTGGCAGATCTTGCCTTAAAAAGACAGTGACAAGTTCTATTTTCCACAACTTTGAAGTGACTTGTTTTCCACACCAAACCATGAGGTTGTGTCTGTGGCAGGAAATTTTCCATGATACATATTTACATGTGAGGTGCTGTACAGGTAGCAAATGTTTCTCTAGAAATTGTTTCTAGGGATTGAAATGAATGTTATATATGGACAACTAACATAGTTTTCTGTTAAAAAAGTAGTCAACAGCAGCAGTACCTGTTCTCCTTCAAAGAAAAAACCCAGGTAAGTCTAGCTTTAGTTGAACTGCATGAAGTTAACCAAAAAATTTACTTTATTTTTTAAAAGTTGTGGAAGAAAATTTTCTTCCAAGTAAATTGCACTTATTACTTATCTAAAAACAAAAGCAAGTAGAATAACATTTGTAGTTAGATTACAGTAAGTAGCATTTGAAACTCTGAAAACTTAGCGTTCCCATAAAAGTGAATTTGTATTGCTTTTTTCTTTCATAATGTATCAGATATTTGGGACTAGACAGTTTGTTCATGTTCTGAAATAAATATTTGGGAGCTCCCTTAGGGAAAGATGGGGAGGGTGGTATGAATTAGGGTGAGACGTGAATTTCCTTTTCAGAATGTCAGTGTTCTCTTGCATTATAGGGGGCTGTAAATTCATTTAGTGCTATCTAGATGAAACCTCATATGCTCTGGCTTGGAGGCCAGGAGGAACCATTGGCTGAGATTTGCCAACTAAAGTTCTATGGTAAGTGTGAGTTTAAAATACTCAGATTGATTCTCACTTTGTGTTGTTTTCTTTAGTTTGGGGGAGAGAGGAAGTGAACAAGTTTTAATGATGTGTTAAATACTAAGATAGATAAAATGTTGAGGGAATTATTGCTGGAATTTCTTTATCCAAATGATGAATGAGTAAAATGATGGGCCCTTAGGGGTTTTTCTTTCTAAATATTCTGGAACGCTATTTGTTATGACCAGTTCTTTCTTTTTGTTATGGTTATTCTGGTTACTCAGTCTTTTTTTTTTCCTTATAACATACGGTCAGTGCATTTGATGTTAGGGGTGTCTTCTAGGAAGGCAAGTGCTGAGTTTATGACATCTGCACAATTTTTGGTAATACCCAGAATGGTACAATAAATACAGGAATGTGATATTATTTTAAGGAGAAGGGAAAAGAGAAGAGACTGGTTTAAAACATTGAAGGTTGTTACTAAAAGAAAGATGAGAATGTTGGTGAGAAGCCAAGTTTATAGTGACTGAGCAATAAACCTCAAACATTCAAACATAATATTTTAATGATGAAGCAGGATAGGTCAGCTCATGGAAATTGTGTGTGTGTGTGTGTGTGTGAGAGAGAGAGAGAGAGAGAGAGAGTGATTGCCCAGGCCCCCACAAGAAAAAGAGAATTGATTATACCCACACAAGCCTTTCTAAGTATAGAAACTCTCTTCTTTCTCCTCAATACCTTCTGCAAGGAATATATTTTCATCAAAATGTATTGATAAAAAAGGGCTCTATTTTTGTAGTTGCAACAAAAAAAAAAATATGCACAAGCTGTTTGCTTGTGTACTTTCTGAGGGATAGATTTGGGTAAAGTAAACAGTGTTCAACCAGAGGCAGTTGAAACTTAAACTCTGCAGCCAAGAGGTGAGGTGTGAGCAAACCTATTAGAGTCTTCCGTTCGATCCACCTCATGGTGGAATGACAATTTGGGGTTAGACCACTAGGGGTCAGGACATTGTCTTCAGGAATGTCTTTGTTAAAGGACACTTTTGGAGTTTAAGAATAAAGGCACAGACAATGGATCACAAATTTGTAAATATGAAAAGTGTTTAAGAGCAGGTTTCTGGCTCTCAAGTCTTGTAATTTTGATTCAGGAATTTGGGCTGGGGAATGTGTCCCTGAGAATATTTTGTTAAAGCTGCAGGTGTTAGAGCACCTCACTTTTGAAAAAGGTATGAGTTTTTCTAGCTGGTTTATCTCAGTAGAGGACTGATGGTTCAGAATTCCCCAGGATCCTACCTCCAAGAGACTCGGGGGAGCTTACAAGGGGCCACATCTCTGTCATGCAGATCTGGCTTTGAATTCCCTGTGGCTTTGGGAAGCATGCTTTTCTTTGCTCAGAGATTCAGGATCTTCCTTTTTAAAAGAGGAGAACAATATTGTCTGCTTCATAAAATCTTAAGAAATAAGGCATACCAAGCATCTGGCAAAGTGACTGGTATCTAATAACGCAATTAGAAAATGATACCTTTCATGGTGGAAGAGAAGGAAATGTCAGTGATAAGCCCTTGGTGACCAGGATAGAGCGTAGGCGTGACCAACCACCCAGGACACTAGTTCTTGGATCTTGAAGACCCAGGGACGATGTCTGAAGAGAGTCCTAGACTGAAAGATAAATAAATCTGAGGATGGAAGACATACTTTCTTAGCATTATAAAATTTTTCCAGTATGGTAATAAGCAGCCCAGATGGCAGTGTTAATGGGAATATAGTTGATTTGACTCCCAAATAGTATTTAACTCAATAGTCTTATTGATTTTTCCTCTGGAAAACTTTAATAAGAACTTCAAAAAGGAAGCAAAGTGAAATGCATCAAATTGGGAGATTTGTTCTTATCTGCCACCCAACCTGCAGGAGGGAATAATGAATAAAGAGAAAAATGGTCAAAGGGAAGAAGGAAAACAGGGGCCATGAATCCAATAAACTGTGATTAAATCAAATCCTTGCCTGGTAATTCAGCGCAATGCCAGGTAGTACTGAACAGACTGGCTGGATTGCATGTGGCTGTTGCCAGGTACTCTCCCAAATGAAACATGAAGTAGAGGAAATGGAAATGATGCGGCAGTTAGGTGCCTTTCTTAAAAAACAGAGAGAATATTTAATGGCATTGAAAAGTAAATTATACCGATGTCCTATTTGTTTCACCAATATTCCTGCTGTAAGTGAAACCATGTGATATTTTCCTTTTTCCTTCTGGCTTATTTCATTGAGCATAAGTCCCTCTAGCTCCGTCCATGTTGCTGTGAATGGCATGAGTTTATCTTTTTTGATTGCTGAATAATATTCCATTGTGTATATGTACCACATCTTCTTGATCCAGTCATCTATTTTTGGACATTTGGGTTATTTCCAGTTTTTACCTATTGTAAATAGTGCTGCAATAAACATAGAGGTAAAGGTGTTCTTTTGAATCAATGTTTTTGTGTCCTTTGGGTACATCCCTAGGAGTGGAATTGCCAGGTCGTATGGTCGCTCCATTTTTAGTAGACTGAGGAACCTCCAGACAGCTTTCCATAGTGGTTGGACCAATTTGCACTCCCACCAGCAATGTAGGAGAGTTCATTTTTCACCTCATCCTCGCCGGCATTTATTGTTGCTTGTTTTTTTGATATGTGCCATTCTTACCGGTGGAAGGTGGTGTCTCAATGTGGTTTTGATAAGACATCACTGTAAAAAAAAAAAATAACAGTACAAAACACAACAAAGCAAAAACAGACAATTATAAATCAGAGACTTACTGCAGGGAGGAAGGAAAGAGATCAGAGGGAGGGAGGGAGGGAGGAGCACAGGGGACTGAGGTGATGGTGCACGGGTGCATTGGTGAAGGAAACTCTATGGGGACTGCACCTGAGGGGGGAGCAAATATTGTTTAAAAATGAACAATGATGTAAAAAATAAAAAAAATTAATTAAAAAAAAAGAAAAGTAAATTACGACTGAAACAGCCAACAAGTTAGTAAGTGGAGGATCTGAAGGATGGTGGGGTGAGGTGTCATCCGACTTCCTAAGCAAATTTAACAGCCTCTTTGAGCCTTAATTTCCTAAGCACCCTTCTCACACTGTGATAAGGCACAGAGGGTGGGCTGAATCCCAACACCTTATTTTACATTTTTCTCACCTGGGAAACAGTCCTTTGTCCAGGTGTTTATCCTGATCTGTCAATTTTTTTTTTCTCATAAACCAAAAATTCACCTGAAAATATGTTTTCACTTTTCTAGAAGATATTGATATCTTCTTAGTAAATAACATAACAAATGATAATAATGATAAATAAATGATGAAGGGAAAATGCTGATAAGTCACCATTTTTGAGCACCTGTTATCTGCTGAACATAATGTTCTTCACATCTGTAAGTGATACAGTGATCCTATTAGGAGACATCATTGGAGCCACGTCCCATGAGGATTCTGACAGGTAGGGGAGATAGCAACAGCTGAGTCAGGATTTGAATCTAGGTCTTTCTAATTCTAAAACATATGTTCTGCTCATTTAACAAACCATAAATCTGCTACACTGAGTGCCATTGAGAGAAATCATGTGGAGTTTGCTCTTTTATTAAGAATTTCCCAACAATTATTCAAAAACAAAATGCAAAACACATATTTGGTGTTCTACTCCTTCACTTTTTACTTGTGTCCATTTCAGTAGAATATTTTCATTCCCAATGTCAACACACACTATTATGTTTACTCTGAGTAATAAATTTACTGACTAGTATGAACTTGTCTGGGGTGTGCACATGAAAGGGACCACTTGTTCTTCTCCAATTACATAAACTTTGTTAAATTTCTCCTTTCCTTGGGCAGATACCATGACTTTTGGTCAGTTTTTTTCCATTAAAAAAAAACACAACAAGATCTGTATTATAAAAACTCAGTTTCAATCCAATTTAAAACTCCCCCCTGTTGACATCACAAGTTAGACATAAGGTTTCAGGATCAGAAGGAAAAAGATTGCTCAGCCACTGGATACTTCTCTTTCTCCCTCTTCTAGGCTATGATAGTTTAGAGAAATTTGGGGCAGGAAGGAAGGAGAAGAAAAAGACATGATTTGCACGTTTAATGGTGCAGTTGTAGTCCTTCTGCCATGTAAGTTCTTGACTCTTTCCCTGGTTCATGTGGGCGGGTCGCTGAGGGCCTCTGTATTTCAGGCCATTGGTGGCTTCCCAATAACACAGACTTTGATATGGGAGATCCAGCTCCAGTAAGATCTAATCCATATAAACATGGCCTCCTAATCCATATAAACATGGCCTCTGGTGTCTGCTCCTTCTGTAGTCAGTCATCATACATGGGGTACGACAAGATAACACCAACCTGGCTACTTCTCACTTGGCCTGTGGATGCATGGGCCCATGGCACTAGGCCTATGCCCACTTTCTTATCCTATCTCTTTTTTCCTTTAGTTCAAATAGGAACAGGGGTTAGACTGGCCAGACCACTGCATATACAGGTTGCAAAGCTAAAAATGAAATGGCAGCATTCGCTTCCGACAGACACCTTAAGAACAATTCTTAAGAACAATTCCTGTAAGAACAATTCTTTTGGCACCCTCTGCACTTGACTCTGCTGAGAGGTGTGGCCTTAGGAAGTGAATGAAAAAACTGCAACATCACTTCATTCCTACTCACACCAAGTTACCTCACAGCTTTGATGATTTTCTTCCTTTCCTTTCCACTTCTGACTGCCTTGTAGATTTGACTGGGGAAGGGGTGGAGGGCACAGTTTGGGTTATCAGCTGGGGGGAGCACAGTCATTTATCTCCCATTTCTTACAGGAAATGCCTGACTCCAGATGTTAGCTTTCCATCTTCCTTGTCCCAATATGGGGGCCCGAATGGGCAATTCTGAGGTATTAGGAAAACCTGTACTTAATAGCCAATGATAGGTGTGGTTTCGTTACGTATTTCTTTCTTCATGTTATACTTGTACATACTGATCCGTAGGCAGCAGCATTCATAGGGGAG